TACAAGTTCTTACCACACACAAATAATTATGACTGTGAGGTGATAGATGTGTTAACTAACTTTACTCTGGTAATTATTTTGCAATCTATCTATATATCAAATCATCACATTGCACACATTTAACTTACACAATGTTATATGTCAATTATATCTCAACAGAGCTGAAAAGGGGGAATTTATGAGTTCTGTATTGGGGTATCGGCCTTGCACACATGCCCCAGGGAAAAGGAAAATGTGAGATTGACACTATCCCTAAAATATGGACAAATAAATAGGGAAAGATACTTATCCAAAAAAATATGTTTGGGTATAGAGATCAGAAATCTAGCTGCATACTATAACCTTCATATTGCTTCCAGAGCCTGTTTGTGCTGGGTTGTTCCTGCTGCAGACTGAGTTCCACATAGTGACCTGTTCACATGCTTTCATAGGCAGGGATAAAATTCCTCTGAGAGCAAAAGGGACTGGTCCACACAGCTGTGTCTCCAAACTGAAAACAACCCCCCTTGCTCATCCCTAGCAACTGAAAAAGTAGATCTATTCATAGCTTGATCAAGGCTATTTTTAAAAAGGAAGGTGCATTCTTTTTAAAAATATATATATACTAAGAGAGATTAAGATGGTATAATTAAAAATCATCCAAGCAAGTAAGCTTTCTGGAACTTTTTGTTTTAAAACACTTTCACAGCATGCCTTTAGGAGTGGAGATTTAATAGTGTGAAACAAGCTTGTGAAATTGAAAATCAATGCATGTGTCCTAAACACTCCCTAAAGTGACTGCGTAGAGCATTGTGTTGTTGGACATTTCGCCAAATTCCCTTTGACCCAATCCCTTCTGTTAGCATAAATGGCATGACTACCATCCTGTGATGCTCTGCTCTTTGAAGGAAGGCCATGGACTTCCATCTTTGTATCCTCCATAGCACCAGCAGTCTGCTTTTCAATGAATAGTACTAAGGGATATTTGTTGAAATAAATGATATCAGCCATTTTACTTTTTATGAGGCAGTTCTGCTGGTGCCCATCCTTGTAACCTGGGCTGTCACTCACCACAGACTGACTCCTGGAGGATATCTCACTGAGGTCCGCCATCTTCACAGCACTGCACACTGGATTCCCTTCAAGATTTCACTAGATTCCCTCTCCCCATTAAACCACCTCTTTTCTGTATCCTCCGCCACCTGAAATACTTTCTGTGAAGTGCTGATTGACTGCACCACTCTGTGGGAACACAGTGGTTGCTAGTGGGTTCATTTTGTTTGCCTCCTAATTGATATGATTGTAACAAGTGGTTATTAATAATGAAGCAACAATGACAATAGCTACAATTTATAAAAGAGTGCCTGGACATAGTAGGTGCACACTAATTATTGGCTTAGTATAATTACCAGTGATAATGAGCTTTGTTAACAATGATCATATTGAGCTTGTATGGAAGTGAGCTTTTTTGTGGGGAGAGGGAGAGGATGTTATCTCAAGGAAACTATTGGAATTATAGTTATTTTATGTCCAGCAGTTGATTTGAAGTAAGTCATTAACTTTCTTTTTTTAAAAATTGTGTGTGTATGTGAGTGTATACATGTACATGTATTTCTCCTGCTTTCAGAGCAATTCAAAAGCTTTATAAATTGGTGGTTAATAGTGTAGGCTTTGGCACCCAAATGCCTAGGTTCAAATGTAGCTCCATCACAGGCTAACTTCTCTGACTTTTTGCAAGTAACTTAACCTCTCTTAGTCCTAATTTTCTCTTTTGTAAAAAGAATCTAACGCATAAAATGCTGAGGATTAAAGACATATTGAATGTCTATTGTGTCCCATGATAGCACTCACCAATGTCTATTGTTGTTTTTATTGTAACTGTTATCTAAAAAGAACTGGAAAAAATGCAGAAAACCAAAACAGAAAATAGTCACATTTATTTTTCTTATATAACCACTATTAGCTAGACTATGTGTTTCTGGTCTTTTTTTCTGTTTATATGTATGTCTAAGTATGTTTAATTCTTATAAAATTAGAAATTATTTATTATCAGTTTTTAATTTACTTTATCAATTTATTTTCCTGTATACAATGTACAGTCTTGCATATAGTATTAATGGTTGTATATTAGTCCATCATATGAGTTTGTGTGCCCAGTTCATCACTGGACATTTAGATTGCTTTGAATTTTTCACTCATAAATAATAGTAATCAAAATAGTCTGAATATACAACTTTTTGTTTGGATTTGGCTCTTTTTTTGGTATAAATTCATTAGAAACCATTAATTTCATGTTCACCAATAGTATATGAGACTCCTAGTTTCCATATAACCTTGCCAAGCCTAGGCAGCATATTGTATATATTTTTTATCTTACCTAGACTAATGGGTATAGAGTTCAGACATATAGTTACGGTCATAAAGTTTATATTGGTTCCAGAGCCTGTTAATCCTCAGTGTTTGGAACACAGCTCAGACGAGAGAGGACTGAGGGCAAGCTGGCCCAACCCCGGAAGAGGCTGAGGGACAGCTGCCGAAGCATTTTGATGGTAACGAATAGTGTGACTGGCCAGAATGGCCCAGGATTGATCAGACCTGTAGATTCCAATGCAGGAAATAATGTGGGTAACAGATAAAATTTAAATTTATGATCGTTTTTTACTGCTGTCTGCCTTGCTAAAATGCATGCAGGAAACTTTGGTTTTTTTCACTGCTGTATCTTAAGCACTGAGCCTGACACATAGTAGGCGTTCAATAATAAATGTCTACTGAGTGAACAAATAAGCTGAATGAAGCTACTCTGTACCTGTCAAGAGGCGGTTGCACATCCTGGTAACCAGCAGACCCTCACCAGATAAGTGTGGGTGAGCTGCCATGATTGAGGCCTCACGGACTTGCCTCTTCCCATAACCATTGCCATGTCCCACGGCACAGCCTTTCACATAAGTCAATTCTTTCAGCCTAGTTAGGATGCAGCCTCCCCTTCTAGGATCCACACTCTTCACAGCAATGTTGGGTGTCTCTGCTGAAACCCACTAATTGTTGTCTCAACGGTTCAACTCAGAGAGCAGTATTATTTCCAGGTTCTTAATGGTTACTCCATTGCTGCTCCTTTGTACTCCCTAGGGTGACCACCTACTGGGGTACCTCTGAATGTATTCTGTGAGGTAACAGATAATGTAAAATATAAAACTATCCATCTAGGGAATAAGATGTTGTGGTTAAAATCCCGGTTCTGGAGCCATTTCCCTGTAGTTCAGATCTGGGTTTCACAAGTTAATAGTTGTGTCCACCTTGAGCAAGTTTTGATCATACTGTGTTCAATTTTCTCATCTGTAAAATACAAATTAATAACTACTTTATAGGATCAACGTGTGGATTAAATATGCTAAAACGTGAAGAAATAGAAAGAGAAAGTAAATATTACCTTCTTTGATAATATAGTAACCTCACTAAAAATTTATTATGTGCCAAAAACCAAATGTATATTTGGTAACCCTAAAACAACTCTATGGGCTAGCTATTATTGTTTATCCTACCTCATAAATAAGGGTACTGAGGCTCAGAAAGTTTTCGTAATGCCATAACATCATATAGCTAGTAAGTGGTTAGCCTGGATTTAAATGCAGGTGTATTTGAAATGTTCTCTCACAAAGAAATTTTTTTAACAGAATTTGAAACATCTGCATTCTCTTTGACATTATAATTTTTAATATCTGACTTCAAGCCTTTTTAGCCATGCTCAAACCTTAAAACAATTTTTTTTTAAGATTTTATTGGGGAGTTGGGGGAGGGGAACAGACAAGTTGCTGTCCTTTTTGTTCTTTAGTCTAGATGTGGAGGACGTCGCTTCACTGGCCCATGTTTGTATTATCATTGCACTCTTCCCAGGTGAGGCAGTGGCTGGCTGGCCATTGAACAGCAGCTCACGGCTGCTCACGGCCAGCCCCACTGCAGCCTATGTCATCAACAGCGACTCACAGCAGCCCAGCTCCAGGTCGAGCTGTCGTTCACCATCTTAGCTATAGAGGGCGCAGTGTCACTGGTTCTCATGTGGGATCTGAACCGTGACCCTGCTGCTCAGAGCTGGCGTCCCAAGCCAACTCTTAACCAACGCGCCACTTGGCGGGCCCCCAAAACAATTTTTAAGAAACTAAATACGTGTGAATATTTAAACATTCATCTAGTGATCTGAGGGTCTATAATTTCTAAGGACTCTTACATTCACTTATAGTGATTTTACTGTGGTCCAATTCACCAATCTCTATTTCCTCTTCTAGGATTTTAGCAAAATTAATCAGCCAATTAAATAATTAAGTACAATTCAAAACCTATAGTGTGGCAAATGATGATCAAAACAGACAGTTTTTATGGAGTAAGTTTAGTAAGCATATAAACCTTATAATCTCATGAAAAAAAACAACAAAAACAACCCAGCTTTCTTAGCAAGATTAAAACATAAGCATTTCAGGGTTGATTTTCAGCAGTGTGTTGACGTTACAGGTTCTCTAACCTAACAGTGAGTCTCCACTCACACACATGAAAGCACCCTGACACCACAGGAGTAGAGACTCCTGTGTTGTAAAGTACCTGGTTGACTGGGTGCCCTGTGAGTGGCCAACATCGAAGTGACAGACTAGAAATGTCAACTCTTTTCAGACATCCCTAGCAGACAAGACAATGAAAACTGAAAAGCAATCCATTTACAGATGTCAGCCCAGGCCCTGTGCTTGTGAGCATGATTTGCTATGCCATATTTGACAGATTAGTTTTACATCCTTTAGACTTACCTTGTTTTCCCTGAAATATACTATAAAATGTGCTGTTACCTTTTTCCAGGTGAATGAGTTGTGATATTTGGTAAAAGTGTCTTTTCTAGTCCAGAGATTTAGGTGGTGTCCTGAGAGCGAGCACGGTCATGAATTGGCAGAACGGTGTAATCTGTGCATGGCACTTGTGATGATATGGTCTTGCACAGGGTTCAACTTGATGTTTGAAGATCTCATTTTTCTCTTCAACAGGTTAATTATTTATGGCTTTGTGAAGGCTATGGTATATGCTGGCCAGCTAAAAAGTGGAGACTTCCATTTCACTGACTGTCTGTTTTTTGGTTCACTGATATCTGCTACAGATCCAGGTAATTCATTGCTCAAATAATATTTTCTTCTTTTAAGAATCAAACATTTAAATGATTGTTTCTCTAAGACCATCACCTGAGTCTATATAATAATTCCTTATTCCTCTTCACTTGCAGTTGACACATCTGTTAGTGATTACAAAAAAGAGAAAAGAAACAGGTGAATATTCTAATAACTCTCAAAAAATGGATCTGAAAGCAATTTCAGTAGTGGGAAGATTCTTTTAAATTTATTTCTCTAGAATAAGTAGCCATTTTGAGCTATGGTCCTTAATTTTCCTCTATTCAACTTGTCTTCTTTCAGAAATGAGCTATTGAATTAAATGGTAAAAAAACACTTTAAAAATTATTTACTATGGATCTTTTCAAGTACATTAAGAGTAGAGAAAATTTAAAAAAAAACCAAAAACCTGTCACACACCCTTCAGCAATTATCAGATATGACCAATGCTTTTATCTATACACCTATACTTCCTCTTTTTGTCATTATCATTATTAGTTTGTATAGTAGTTTGTACAAATTAAGACACAAACAAGGGCTACACTTTGCATTTGATTGATATGACTATTGAATCTCTTTCAATCTGTACATTCCCCCTCCATCTTCTTTTTTTTCTTGTCATTTTTACTTGTTGAAAAAAAATGCAATTTATCTTGTGGTTGAATTGAATATAATTACTTAGTTGTATTTCTACCCCCTTATTTTGTTGTAAACTGATGGTTAAATCTAGAGACTTAATCAGGTACAGGCTCTTCTTTTTTGGGGGGAAGAATATTTTATAGGTGGTGCTGCGAGTCCCCATAGCAGCACATCAGGAAGCACATAGTGACGAGTGAACCAGCTGTCAGGCTGACCCACCACACTATCAAATTGCTGCTCCAACAAAGAACACCAGAACACACCTGCACTAGAACAAGATGTGTTTATTACATGTTGTAATGAGAGAGAATGCTCTCAGAGGGTGTTAGAAAGGACTTATTATAGGACTTGGGCTTATGTTTTATGATTTTAGGGAGGGTGTAGAAGATGGGGTCCTTGTTCTGGATTAGATGCTGCCAGAAAGCAGAAGTAACTGGGCATTTTAGTAAATCTTACCTAGAAGGAAGGAAGACTGGATTGAGCCTAAAACTACATTTGGTGAATAAGCAAAGGCCACTTATATAACCAGGATAAGGGGAGGTTGGTCAGTGTTATGCTTTGGAGAGGGTTCATTATTTGCATTTAGACAAGATTATGCAGTAGTCTTGTTTTGGTCTTCATCCCTCATGGTCACAAAATGACCTTGTCTGATGTTGTTCTGTGAAATTGTTTATGTTCAGCGGAAGAATCCCAAGGCTTGGCTGATAGAACGAGGCCAGCTCCCAAATGTCAGGGGCTGCTTGTCTCTTTCTTAGAATGGCCCTCTGACCAGCAGCATGCACTACGTGGGGGCTTGTTATAAATGTGGGATCTCAGGCTCAGCCCCTAGCCTACGGAATCAGATTCTAGGATTTAACAATATCCTCAAATGATTCATATGCACGTTACATTTGAGGAGCTCTATATTTTAGAGTTCCCCATTTTAGCTAATGGCATTAGTTCCTATCGATGGTTACTGCTTTCAGTATTTATTAGGGCTTACAAATGAGTGGTATGGGAATTCTGTCCCACCTTTTGTATTTATTAGCTGGTACTCTCCTAAAAAATAAGTGATTTTGAAGATCAACTATTTGAATACACATATCATTTGAACAAAAAAGCAGGAAAAATGATTGATTCATTCCTTTTATTTACTAATTTCCAAAATTATAAGTTGTTTGCTTAGTATCCTCCACATACTACTAGGGAAAAAATTTTTAATATCATATCACCACATGGGTTTTAACATAGTTGATATGTTTCAATCCACTATTGTCACTATTCTTTTTGATGATCAAAATATTCCATCTTTGACAACTAGGAGCCCCTTCAAGTTTCTCCTGTATACTCTTGTCATGACCCCAGTGGTCTCTCATAGGTTTCTTGTTTTGGGGTAGGGCTAGACGTTCCAGCCTTATTTTGCTTATTTCTTCTACCCTGACTTGGATCTAGCCATTTCACCAAGAAGCTTTGGTTCTTTCTAAGAGGGAAATTATTTAGAGATCAAAATTTGGGCATTAGGAGTTTTCATTACTACTGCATCAGTCATTGTTTCTACATATCTTTATTTTTTTAAAGGAGAAATAATATCATAAATTCATATTAATATGTTCAGTTCAAATTTAAGTGCCTTGAATTTTTATTTGTAATTTAATATTTCTTATGCCTACTTTTCCTCTCCCTATTACATTAATATAATTTCTTACTTGCTTAAAATATATATTTTCAAAATTATAATATACATATTATTTCTGAAAATATGATTATTGAAAACTGTTTAAGATTTTGCTGTGGTTCTTCTTAAGTTTTGGATATATTCTACTAGGGATAATCAGTTAAAAATTAAGAGCTCTTGAAATAATTTCTGTGCTGCTGAGTCACAATACAATATACAATAATGTTCATTTATTTCATTTTGCTTTTAATTTTTGTTTTAAAATTAAATTAAATATCTACAAAATTTCAAAATGAAAACCATAGAACCAAAATGAAAATAAGAAAAATCTAGCTTCTATCCTTTCCCCATTACCCTAATTTTCCAACCATTTTGATTGGTTTTCAGTTCACCTATCTATTTTTAAATCTAAGTAAACACATAAACATGTAAACACTCTACTATATGCTACTTCTTCACTTTACTCTTTTTAAATTTACAGTATTTTGGAGAGTACTTCATAGCAGCATTTAAAGATCTTTCTTGTTCTCTTCTTTAGCTGCAAAGTACTCTAGTTTATTCAACCAGTCATCTGTTGATAGATATCTGGGTTCTTTCTTATCCTTTGCAAATATGAATGGTGTTGAAATTAATAGCTTTCCACATTTTGCCAATGTTTTTTGAAATAGATTTCTAGAAACAGATTAAAAGGTAAATGTATTTGTAATTCTCCTAGATGCCAAATTCCTCTCTATAAAGTTTGTACCATTTTGCATTCACACCAGCAATGTATGACGGTACTTGTTTTCCATAGGCTTTCTAATGCAGAATTGTGTCACAATTTTGGATTTTTACCCATATGAGAGGAGAGAATTTATATCTCCCTATGTTTTGACTTAGTACTTCTCTTATTATGAATAAGGTTGAACATTTGTTTCTATGTTTAGGGGACATACTTTTTTCTGAAAACGAACTATTCATAATTTCTCGGTGAGATTGTTGGTCTTTTATTTTGCAAGTTTTAGAAGCCCTTAATATGTTAGGGATGTTAACCCTTTGTCTGGAATATAAGTTACAACTATTTTTTTCCAGTTTTTATCTGTTTTATTTTGCTTATAGTATGGAGGAAGAAAAAAAATTAACATATGATGTTGACGCATTTCCTGAAAGAGGATGAAATGAAAATAGGCCTCAGATTTAGAACCTGTGGTACCGATTAGAGGATCAGACCCCAGAGCGTGTACAGAGTGGACCACTCAGCTCCAGAGCTGAGGATGACCAGGCCACTAAGTCATTACCGGAAGAGTCATGCTCCATTCTCACAGCCCAGGGAAATGCTGGAGCCCCTTGACAGCCACAGGAAGCATGGACTCAGGATAAAATATTTTCAACCATCTTTTCTAGTTAGTTAGGGTTTTCTTTTCTGCCATATATGGCACTTTGCTTCTGATGGTCAGGTCACCATTGCACAAATCTACATGTTGGAAGCATTGCACCCACTGTTTCCTGGTCCCGATGCTAAAGGCCGAGTTGGTTGTATTCTTCTGAGTGAAGCAGCCAGCATCAAATGTTCAAGCTTTGTTCCTTCTTTAGCTGGTTATATCCCTGAGGTTATGTTTACATGGCATGGAAACCGATTAAAATGGGGAAAAAGTCCAGCTCAATAAGAGGGTTATGTACTTTGTGTCAAACAATCGAGCTGACTGACTCTGAATTTTTTTAAATACAGAATTGACTCATAGCCAAAGAGAAGCCTGGGAACCAAGTCTACTTTCCCAGTCTGGCACAGACCAGCTGTGCAAATTGAGGCACCACTTAGGCCATCTACACTTCATGGGTCCTTGCAGGTGGAAGATATTTGATCCCAACTCTTCCAACCCCTTCATTTTATATATGAAGAAACTGACTTTTCAACCCAAAGTCTCCCATCCAGATATCCTGGGGTTCTAACCCCAACTCAACAAATGTTAGAGGTGATCTCACACAGCAGAGACCCACACACGAACAGGAATACTTAAGCTCCCTTCATTTAATGGGAGCTAATTGCTATACTAAAACATGCTGAACCTATTCTCTGCTAAATTGGTACAATTTAAGATCTTCAACAACCTTGAAACACCTACCTAATCTTATCCTACAATTATTCATTTATTGCCTAAATTATTGTGACTCGCTAATTTATAAAAGAGAACACATGCTCTCGAGGTCTGCTTTTTCTTGGCCTGCTTTAATCAATTCTTTCCCATTTAGCCTTAGCTAAATCTTACCGAGGTGTTATTAACTATTCATATTTTTCTTTTATAGATACACATTAGAGTTAAATCTAAGTCTTCCTGCATGTTGCAGACTCTCTTCAACCAATTTACAGCTTACCTCCACTTAGGATGGTTTGATTATTATTTGATTGATGTAATATCCTCCTTTCCTCACTCATGAAGATCTCACTAATGATGTAAAGGTCATCCACAGCACTTACCAGAGAGTGGACAGCTAAAGGCCAAGCCCCCAAAGAAACCATGTATGGCAAATGGCAGGGTAGAGGAAGAGAGAAGTCCTTAGACGGCTTGGTCAATGAGCCAGCTCCTCATCAGGTGTGTTTAAACAAGGGCAAATAGGAGGATGGAGGAGGGGAGAGAAGAGATCAACAAAATGGCAGTAGAGTAAAAGCCCTAGCAACTGGAAACAGATGCTTTATTTAATATCGCTCATTTTACAAATGGCCAAAGG